AAGAAAATTCAGTTTATGGAGAATTTTTAAGAATAGCTAACAAAATAAATTACTAAGACACTCATTCACTCAATAAAACAGAAATCCTAAGGGTTATAAAGTGCAAAGGTTTGCTACAAAGTATGTTATTAATTTCAAAATGAAACAATTGAAATCAAAAGATTTAAAATCAGATAGAAGCGAATTCCAACTGTTTATCTAAACCTTTCATTTTGAAAAATGGAAAAAAAACAAAAATATTTGAACATTTTAATTAGGCACAAGACCCCTGATCTTGAAAGATTAAGAATATTTCAAACAACTAAATAACCCAGTTTACCTTGGTTAACATGAATTGCTTATATAAACTATTATTCATATTCAACTAAAAACAATTACAAAGCAAAAAAATTTAAAAAAATCCTCAAATATTAAAACACAGTTGTTGACATTTTGTGTATATATATATATATATATATATATATATAGTTATAATTAATGTGGAGAAACTTATCACCTAACTGAGTGATGTTATTTCAGTCATGTCAACTTCAATGCACTCACGAAACGTTGAAGAACTATTATTCTACCCACTAACTACAACTGAAAAGAATTTATCTAAACTCAACATAAAATTTGTCACAACTACATCCAAGACAATGAAAGACTTAATAAAAAAAAACAAAAAAAAAACAGTCAAAACTTGGAATTTACTCTATCAAATGCAGGAACTGCTAGAATGAATACATTGGAGAAACTTCTAAAAGTTTAAACAAGAGACTATATGAACACAAAAGGGACATTTTAAATAACACAAAATGCATTGTTTTTTTCACTGTAACAAAATGGACTATAGTTTCAACATAGGGAAAGCCACTTTGATTAAAAGAGAAAATAATCTACTGAGTAGAAAATATCTGGAAAGTGTCTTGATCACTAATTCAGCCACAATAAATTTGCGTCCAGGCTCTTACAACATATCATCATTCTTGGTAGATTTTATATCGTCACAGTGTGGAATAATAAGGAACAAAGGTGGTGGAGAGATAAAGAATACATATGATTTTGGTTAGATTGAAAAAAAAAAAATCCTTTCGAAAGATTAACTACCTGCACCGGTTGTTTCGTGCATGTGTAGACGTGGCAATGTCATCAAAGCCCAGTCTGATAAAATGTGTCACAAAAAACCTTTCCAGTTTGACATTTTCTCAAACAGACTATCTATATATAGTGATCCTCTCCAGGATTCTAAACAACTTAATATTGATATTAAATTCACAAATGAAGCTACAAATGAAGCTGCTGGATCATGCAATTTAAAATATATTTAGGCAGCATATCTTCAAATTTTAAACATGATCCAGCAGCTCATGATGCACTTTCCTTAATGAATTTAATATCAACATTAAGTCGGTTAGAAAACTGGAGAGGGTCACACTAAAAATAAAGACATGTCCAGATTATTCAACACAACTTGTTTGAATGAAGATATATATAAGAATGGAAAGTATTTAAACTTAAAACGCGAATCCAAGTGTTGGCTCTAGTTAGAAACTTGCATAGAGGATGAATCAAAAATAAGTCACCACCACTCCTAAGGAAGGTAAATGTCAGAGATAAATGTCTTCATGATGGCGATGGGATTGGAGTCCTCATGGTAAACAGCCAACTTTTTCTCTCTCACACACACACACACACAATGTAAAACAAGATGAAAACTGCACAATTTCTTGATGTTTGAAACTGACAGTCACCACTAACAGTTGATTTCTATGTTGAGTCTCACCTATAAAACACTGATATTGAGCACTATTTCTCCCACATAACTTTTTTTTTTTTTTAACATTAAAACAATGTTCAATTCTGCCCTTTTAAGGAAATATACATCATTAGGACCTTTTGAAGTCTATCTGCTCATTTTATTTTTGTACCCAAAATGTAAATAAAGTAATGCTTAAGCAATTAATGGACTTTTTAATATAACATTATTTCTTACTAAAACAGAATGTGCATGTTTATACACAATGGTTGACACCCCAATGTCAAGTATGGCTACTGCAAGACATTGTAAAAATCTGTTGTGCATTAAATGGATATGGCTATTTAATCTGAACAAACTTAAAACTTCTGGCACAAAGTTGAGTTGGAAGTGGAGTTTTGTGGACATAGTATAAAAAAAAAAAAAAATAAATAAATAAATTGATAATGATTGAGTATTTGTTGGAACTGTATGATGGCTGCTGCAAATTTTCAAAGAGATTTAGAAAATTAGGGGAGGAGATTTGAATCAATCCTTATATACAGGCATTTGGAACCCAAAACAAAATAAAAAAAGCTCCTTCATTCATATTTTAAAAGAGAATGAAAATTTTTATATTTCAAACATATCAAAGGTTGGGGTCTAGAGTATAATTTCTATTTATAGATATATATCTATATAGATCCCAGCATTACCTTTCTTTTATACATGATTCATAGGTAGTTAAATGCTTCTTGTACTTCAATGGCAGAAAGGATTCACAAAATCAGTTTATAATTGAGAATAAGTTTGAAATTAAAAACATCACATAAATAAAAGCATAAAGTATCATTGGTATATGGTCCTTCCACAGAATTTTTCACTCTGAATTCTTCATTCAACTCAAATACCCTAGAGCTTGTGAAAGGCTGGAGTAATATTAATCCAAGTTTTTGTTACTCAAGATAAACTCTTCATAAGATATAGATACAAGGCAGTGTAGAATTTTTTATATTCAACCATATAGACTTTTTCTGAATAGCTGAAAACTCAAAAAGTAAATTTTTATATTGTTTGGTATCTTGGTAGTTTTCAGGAGCCATTTCAACCAGGTGTTCATTGTGGCAGAGTATATTATAAAGTGTTTCCAGTAGTGATTGTTCATCCCTTTCCATTCTAACCAGGGAAATATCAATACTCATCCATATCCTCTTCCCGATTTGTGTGTTTAAATAAACCAAGTGATCAGAGACACCTGTTTATACAGGATTATTTCAAAATTTATCTCTGCACCACAGAAGTCTTGTCAGCATAGAAAATATGGAGAGACTTGAGGTGGGGGCAAGAGAAACATACAAATAATACAGAGAAAAAAAATTTCTGAAAACTTAATTGAACTGACAACCAACCAAAAAATCATTAATAATGATATCTGCTTTTCTTGAAAACTGGTCATCATTTGTGCTTATCCAGATCAAAGATCTATCAAGTTGGGAAATGCAAACAATTTGCATCCACATAGGAGACTACAGACAAGATTTCTTTTAAAATTTCTTAGTAATTTTGTAAAAACACAGCACTTAAAACTTGGGACCGCAAAAGGAATGTATTTAAAGGAAGAAATGCTTATATATTTTCATTTTTTTTTAATAAATAAAAACATTTTCCCTTTTTATTTTTCTTGAAAGAAAAGAGAAAGCTGACACTCCTACGAATCAATTAGTGAATAACTGAATACTAATTTAATTGTTACTGTACAAGGTACATTGTCTATGATTTTGAGTTGAGTCATTGAAATTGAATTATTCTACAGATTGTCTGGTAATTTCTTATTTTGTATGAAATTTACTGTTGTCGCGGGTAGGGTACATGAATGAACAATTTCTGTCGTTTGTAGATTTCTGAAGATAAGGCTTCCTTTTTAACACCTTGAAGAAACGATTTTTAGACGAAACAGTAAAAGACTTGAGCGCTTCAGTGCGTGTATGCGCGTGAATTTGAATGTATTACTCAGGAAAAAAAAAGTTAATTTGAACATGAACAAAAAAAAATGCAAAGCAACTTAAGTTTAGCATTGTATTTTACAATTATTGCTTCTTACTTACGCCGTTCCGAGTCAATTATTTTTTAAACTTTAGTGCTTTATGAATTAATGTTGGTAACGAAGTATTTTAATATTATACAAAAGAAAAGGTAAAAAATAAGAGGCAAAAGAGAGTGAAGGGACCCTGTGTACACAATTACCCCTATCCTGACTCCTGACTCAATGAGGAAGTGCATTCTTAACATAACCGGACATTGACAAGGGTGTGGCGTGGCCAAACAATAACATCACTAGTCTTATCATGAAGCATATGGTCAGAAACAGCCTTCTTTATTTCAATCCAACAGAAAGATAATTGAAACAGGAGAATTACATTTGAATTTGGCCCTAAAACCTTTGTAGAGCTTTCTAAATCGATTTTAATGGAAGTAATCGTGGTGGCAGATTAACTGAAAGATAATTTTAAAAACAAGAAAGACAAGCCTTAGAAATGTAATATTTTAAGTTGAAATAGACAATTATTAAGTGTACTCGTATTTTGTTATTGTCTACACAGTTACATTAGTTTGGAGATTTTGTTTAAAAAGAAAAAACTGAAATGTCGAAACAAAAGACGAAGATGCAGGTTTCTAATTATATCAAACAATATGGATGAGACAGAAAAAAAATGTTTTTTTTAAATAAATAAAATTGCTAAATTGGTGGAAATTAATTTTATAAATTATTGTTTGCGTTTGTTATGATATTTCTAAACAGAGCTTTTTTGTAGTAATAAAAGCAACAAGCAACGTTGTTTTTTTTTTTTTGTTTATTTATCTCCATTAATAATGAATCATAACTTGTCAAGTTCGAAATAAATACCGAAAAAGAAATAACGAGATAGAAATTGTATCTCCCACTTTACTGACGAAGTCATAAAATATATTTTCCATAGTTATTTTATTTTTCTAACAAAGCATTAAATTAAAAAACAAAAAAAAACATTCATGCAATAGCCTTTTTGGTTATTTAATTTTTTAAATATGTGATTGTCTTATTTAAGAAATCAACGTCTCTATTTGTTGAAAAATTAAAATATAAACATCTTATAAAGCAGCATAAAACACTAAAAACAACTGAATATCAATATCTCTAAAGAAGCTAAAGTTGCCAACATGAACATAAAAGAAATGTTCAATTTTCTGACAATGTTTTAAAATTTGTTAATAATTACGTGAAACATCGTTAAAAAAAACTCACCGCAGATACGATCTTCTGTGAGCTGAGCCTATAGAAGACAAACAGGAAAAAATAAGTCTTAGGATATGAAGATAAACCAACAATTTTTTTAATAAAAGTAAATAATGCCAAAGTTTGAATAAATAAACTTACCATAATTTACACCGAGAAAAAGTACACAAATTGCCTTAGTTGAAGTGGGGAAAAATGGAGGCCGAATGGATTGAAGACGATTAAAAACTGGTGCGACTTCTTCCGGTGAATTGCATGATGGGAAATCTAAACGCACAACATGCCCCGCCCATTAAACAACTTGCTAAAAACTACATTCTAAATAAAACTATCCTTACTAGGCCCAGTCAAAATAGTACGAATTTCAAGATTATGTAGCGCCATTTTTCACAAAACAACGTTACTTTCCGCAAAATCCGTTTAAATAATTTAATAATAAAACACAGGTAAGCTAAAATTAGCTTTTTTTTATGGAAATGTATTTTTCCGGGGTATACAGCGCTTTTTTAAAAAAAAAAAAAAAACTTTTTTTTTTTTTTTTTCACCCGTTCACTTTCGAGACAATATAAAAGCTTAAAAATGGAAGTAAGCGAAGTGGCTCAAGAGAGTGTGTCCAGTATTTTACACGCACATTGTTAAATCGACACCTCCCACTTTAGACTTTTTAGAACCACTTCGCTAACATCGACTTGATTTTCTTTTCTCGATAGTGAACATGTTTTAACTGCCCCTCTTTCCCCAAGATAAATCAATCTTCTTGAATAAGCCACATTGGGAAAATACATTTTCGTAGAAAAAAAAATTTAGCGAAATCGAATCTTTACAGTGAAAGAAGTTGACGTTCGAGTATCGACCCACGTAATTTTCAAATGCTAAATTTCAAGACAGGCCTGCTCTGCTGGATGCTGCAACACAATCTTCTTCCTCAAATTCAGCCTTGTGTTATATAAATATTTTACAATCTCCGTCCTGTCATGTGTCACTAGCGTAATTCGAACAAACCATGATGTTTTTTAATCTTCTTACAGGCACCCTCCCAAATTCTCTCAAACAATTAGTTTTCAAATTTTAAAACGAGAAAACCAAATTTCGAATTGAAATTATTTTTGTGCCAATTTTCTAAGTGGCTTAGTGTGGCACAAGACCACAAATATGGAGCAATCAGTACTTGCAGTTTAGTGGCACTGGTCTGCAAATAGGCTTACCTGCATCGAAAATCTTTTTTCTTTTTTTATTTTTTGAAAGTTTTGCTTTTACTTTGACTCGAACACTACTACTGGTGCGATTTTTATGCAATTAATTTTATTCAATGAAAAGACGTTGGTTGGCGGGGGATTAAACCTGTTTCGTGCCGTGTTTTTTTTTCCTCAGTTCATTTCAGAGTCGTGACAGTCACAGTCGTCTCGAAAATAAAGTTTTTTAAGCTTACTATCTTTCTTCTTCCTTAACCTAACATTTTTTTCGCCAGATAACCAGCTGAAAATTTAAATTATGCTTTTTTAATTTTGTTAATTAGGATTTTTTAGTATTGAAAAATGTATAAAAGTAATTTATAATACAATAATGCAGTAAAAAAACAATCTTTTAACTCGGACTGAGTCATCCCCTCAGGAATATCTTATTTGAGGCAAAGTAATTTTATACTTTTTTATTTATTTCGTCTTCACTTCACCATATAAGGAAACAAAATGTGGTCTGACATTTTTAAGTCATTTAGTCCAATGAACTACGACCAAACGTACTTTTTTTTTTAACGTACGAAGACTGTTGAGTTGTCCTTTCTTTACTCATAACCTAAGTTCACATGTCACATTCCAAATCATTTATTCATTTAAAAAAATTAGTTTAAATATCTCAAAGTAAAATACCATAGCAATATTTCGTTAACAACAAATATTCATTTCACGCTCTTGTGTCTCAAACTAATTTTTGCTAAAAACAGTTTGCACACTCATAATTTTTATGTTTTGATTAGGGAAATAAGAAGAAAAAGATCTTCGGTTCTCTAAAAAAAAAAAAAAATGGAAGGAATTTTTTTTATTATTATTATTGACTTTTTTTTTATGTTTTGACTTTAACTGCTTCCACACGATGCGGTCGATATTTTTTTGCGATTATGTGCAAAAAAGTTTTTCAGTTGCACCCCAAATTTTAATGCAGGCATCAGGGCATGTCACCTAATCCTACCACGTTTATGACATTCTTGATGCCAAAATGCAAAATAAATATTCTGATTTTTTTTCAAATTCCTTTTTCTAAACCAACACAAATTATTTTTAAACCTTCGAATATATTGATCTGAAACTAACGATTGATTTTGTTGAAGAGCGAAGACGTAAGTGACACCAACAAAAGATACCTTATCATTCTGACTTAAAAAGGAAATAAAAACACACAAGCGAATTTTAATAACATCAGTAAATCAAAATATCAAATATTGTTCTTAATTCCTTTTTGCAATAAATTTTCAAAAAAATTTCCAAAAGTGGCTAAGTAGTATCAGATCTTCACAACATAATACTGGTTAACAAGTTTGTCTTGTGGACCATTATTACTACTACTGTGTGTCCTTACTAGTTGCTCCATATTTGTAACCTTATGCCAGACTAAGCACTAATTGGTTAGTAAGTTTATTTTGCAGATTATTAATCCTGTATTGTAAATTATATCTTCACCAATATATCTTTCCCACTTGTTGCCTTGTGACAGACTAAGCCTTGTAAATAAATGCATATATATGTAGTTGAAACCCAAAAGAATGACTAACATTGTTTTTCAATGAAAACTGGACTGAAAAACTTATTAAATATCTGAATAATAAAAATGATGATGACATAAAAGAAGAAATAAAGTGAAAAGTTTGACAAATATCTTGACCTTAGATAAAATCAGAAAAATTTGGGAACATAGCAATAACTGCTGGAGCATTTGGAATAATCCTTAGGAGTTTAACAAAAAGGCTGGAAGAATTAGAAATCTAAAAAAAAAATCAAAAATTTCTGGATAACAGCATTGCTGAAAGCAGACTTGCTGTCACTTAATCTACAGCATAAGCAACCAAACAACTGGTGTGAATAATCAAATATATTTATTTTCACATCAGAACGAAAAATAAAGAATCAAATCAACTACATAACAATCAATGAGATTCAGGAATGTAGTTTTACACTGTAAAACATGTCCAAGTGTTGACTATGGGAGCACCACTTTTCAGTAATATATGTGTAGTTTTAGAAGTTGAAGAGAGCCAAAGTAGCATCTAAATTGCAATACAACAAACTCCTGAATGACCCAAATTGCAAAAAGATGTACACTGTCAGCATTTAAAGCAAATACAATGAACTAAATAAGAATGGAAATTCAAAGCAGGAAACACCGAGAGAAGCTTTAGTAACCTCAGAAAATGAGATCATCCCAAAGAAATCTAGTCGAGGAAAAAAAGGAATGGATGACACATGAAATCCTTGACATGTTGAAAAGGAGACAACAAACAATCCCAACATATTGCACAGAATATAGGACACTACACAAATAAATTAGAAATAAATAGAGGCAAGCAAAAAAGGAATGACTCAATGAAATGTGTGCAGACATAGAAAGAATGAGAATCACAGATATGCATAAAAGAATATGAGAAATAGCAGCACAAATGACATGCTCATTGACAGGGAACTCTGATAATAGAGTTAGAAAAAATACTTCAAAGACCTCTTCCACAGCAAGTGTGGAAAACCTGCAATACACAAAATATAGAAATATATATTGGAATTTAATTTGAGAACCACAATTACAATATTTTACAAGTTCACATTCTAGCCTATTTTTCCAATTTTTACTCCAACCTTTTTTCTTACTTTCAGAACCGACTCCCAAAGCCTTGATTCTTATCAGAAATAAGAATATATTTTCTGACTAATGAGAGAGCTGGAAAATACAAAAAAGAATTCACCCACCATTATTCTTTCCAATAAAGTTTGGGGGAAACGTCACAGCTTGTTCACTCCAATCTTTTTCCTTGCTTTCAAAACTGGCTCCTAAAGCCTTGATTCTTATCAGAGATAAGAATATATTTTCTGAACAATGAAGGGGCCAGGAAATTTGTATAACAATTTTGGACGGAAAAGTCCCCGATTCTTCTGAATCTCCCAAATCTCCATAAATTTGGAGAATCTTCACCTATTTGGCAGTGAGAATTCGACTACCGTCTGTGAGGTCAGTGATAGAGAACATCAGTCAACTTCGGAACCAGTTTCAACAAAGAAGAACTACCTACTAAAGGGCCATTGAGAACAAACATCAGCCCACTATTAAAGACCAGTTGAAAGCTGACTCCTTTCGCCTACAAGACTTCTCTCATCGACCTATGAACTCACTAAACTTTGAAGAAAACTGTGAGTGTTTCTACCCCTTAACAAAATTCTACTCACTTAAAGAACTCTTAGGCACTCAGAGAAATATTTTCTGCAAGCCATTTTTCTGTTATGAACATTTTCTCTTCCTTTAAAGTTAAAGTGCAATATTGATGTTCAGAATGATATCAGAAAGAACAGTACAAAGGCAGACTAATGTATACCTGTTTTATAGTTTATGCAAAAGCCTGTGATAAAGTACAACACAACTGTTTGAACTGCTAGGTAAGCTTGACTTATTTGGGAAATATATTAAAATAATCCAGAACTTATACTAGGAGCAAGCCACTTGCATATGGATGAAAAATAAATTCATTAAATACACAAAAATAAAAAGGGACAAAAGACAAGGATGCGTGTTCTCTCTGGACTTATTCAATCTTTACAGTGAGGCAATCCTGAGAGAGTTAAAAGTCCTATCAGGATTCATTATTAGTAGAAACCATCTTAACAACATAAAATAGGCAGATGACACAGTGTTGATAGCAAACACAGAAAGGAAACTACAGGAACTCTTACAGAAAGTAATTAAAGGAAAGCTAGAAGAAAAAAGGAATATAAACATTAATTGTAAGAAGATAGAATATATGGTCAGAAAAAGGAACAGCCCCAAATGTGAACAATGAATTGGAGACACCAAAATCAAGCAAGTACAAAACTTTAAATATGTAGTTCATACAATGAACTAAATAAGAATGGAAATTTTAACAGAGGATGGAAAATGAAATACCAAAT